GTAGCATCATCCCACACATCCATCCAATTAGATGTTGGACGTGAATCCGAGGACAAGGTTACACTTGGTGTGTTTCAGAGCTTGGATGAAGTTTGATTTTCACTTTTCTGTCATTGAGTCGTTTGTGTTTGTCATTCATGCAGATGGATGCTCATCTCCGGACAGACGTCCGGCCGCTCTGACCATGGCTATTCTCGGCTCCGATGGTGGCGGCCCTCAGGTACCCGTCGTCATCATCAGCCCACCGCTGCACGCACCAATCACAGGCCAGAACAGCTCGCCCCCTCAGATGGAGGTGGCTTTGGAAACAACAGATTCTGAACCGTCACCTGATGCCGCCCCGTTCTCTGACATCACATCACCTCCTGTGGCTCCACCAATCGCTGAGCATCCAGGCGCTGGCTGGGTTCAGGCAGCTGAAGAAGCTGCAGTAAGTGTTTCAGCAGGTTCTGGTTTATTTCCAGGAGCTTTATTTCTGCAGCTGTTTTCTGATCTGACTCTGTTTTCTCAACAAAATCTGGATTTCTCTGTTAAATGTAGTGATTTACTTTGGGATTGTTGTCTCGAGGCTGAGAGTTCCTGCTTTAATGCTCCAGCTTTCCTGTTGTTGGACATCATTGATCAGTTATCAGTGAAGCTGTAAGTGATCAGTAACAGGCTGTCATTGTGTTTTCCAGGCAGCAGAGGTGAAGATGGAAACTGTTGAAGAGAAACATGAGGATCAGAAGGTTCATGAGAGCCGAACAGGTGAGACGGTAATGAATGAAACTGCAACCATCAGACTAGAGGTGGTTCGGACGGTTCAGACTGACCGGGCAGAACCGTCATCTTTGAATCAATACAGAAAGTCCAGGAACAGTGTGGAAGTGCTAATCACTTCCTGTCCAGACCAGCTGCTTCCTACAGGATGGCGAGCTCTTAGCGGTCTCACTGTCAGTGACATGACGACAACAGACAAATCACTTATTCAGATTTGTGTGGTTTCTGTTTTCTTAACTTTATTTAAGGAGTTTGTTGACCTGCAGCTCCACATGAGCAGAAACAGAAGTTTTTCAGTATCGTGCAGCTGTGTTCCTGTCAAAGCTCAGCTCTCCTGTAAATGTTTTTGCTTCAGTGTGTGCAGCTCTGAGTGAGGAGGAGCAGAAGGAGCAGGAGAGGAGGAGGAGGAGGGAGCTCTACAAAGAGAAGAGGTTCTTCTGTGAGCTCTGTAACAAAGGTTTCCATCAGAAGCACCAGCTGATGAAGCACGTTTCCTGCCACCTGAAGCCGTTTCCCTGCAGCTCCTGCGATAAAGGCTTCTACCGGGCCCAGACGCTGCACAAACACCAGCTGACCCACCAGCTGAGGGAGGCGCAGGAGAACGACCCGGACAAGCTGCTGCGCTGCGACCAATGCGACAGGAAGTTCCGGCTGCTGCGCCAGCTGCGAGTCCACCAGGCATCTCACCGGCTGGAGAAGTCGCCACTGAAGTGCCACACCTGCGACCGCACCTACACCTCCACCAGCGCGCTCAGGTACCACGAGGTGTCGCACGCCAAAATCAAGCCCTTCATGTGCGACGTCTGCGGGAAGAGCTTCACCAGGAAGAAGAGCCTCCGAGAGCACCAGACCGTTCACACCGGCGCCCGGCCGTACACCTGCCAGACCTGCAGCAAGAGCTTCTCCACCGCCAGCAACCTGCGCGTCCACAAAAGGTCGCACTCGGAGGAGCGGCCCTACAAGTGCAGCGAGTGCGACAAGGCCTTCAAGTGCAAGATGGGGCTGCTGCAGCACCGAGTGGTTCACTCCGGAGAAAAACCCTTCATGTGCCAGACCTGCGGATTGAGCTTCGGCTTGAAGTACAACTTCCAGAGACACCTGAGGCTGCACAATGGGGAGAAACCGTTCAGGTAACCAGCGATCAATAAGATCAATTAGTAAGATACAGGTCACTGATTCACCTCATGTTGTCTCCTCACCTGTCTTCCTCAGGTGTGATAAGTGTGGGGAGGGCTTCACCGGTACCTGGGCTCTGAAGACCCACATGTTGGTTCACGGCGTGGAGAAGCCATTCATGTGCGACTTGTGTGGAAAGACGTTCTTCTACAACTGTCAGCTGCAGAAACACCTGCAGCTGGTTCACGGCGGTCCAGATCGAGGGAAGTCCAGCGAGACGAGCCGACGCAGATCGACAGGCGTCAAGCCGTTTGGCTGTAAAACCTGCCTGAAGAGCTTCAGCAGCAGCAGCACACTGAGGACGCATGAGAAAAGCCACACCCAGAGCAAAGAGTTCACCTGTGACACCTGCGGGAAGGCCTTCCACCTGCGACACCTGTATTTGTACCACCTGAGGCAGCACAGTGGCGACCGGCCACACGTCTGCAGCATCTGCCACAAAGGCTTCCTGCTGGCGTCGCAGCTGAAGCAGCACGAGCTGCTGCACACCGGAGTCAAGCCTCACCGCTGCGAGCAGTGTGGCAAGGCGTTCAGGACCCCGCAGAACTACCACCGCCACCTGCTGGTGCACACCGGAGAGAAGCCCTACCAGTGCGCTGTCTGCAGCCGCAAGTTCAGGCAGTCCAACCAGCTCAAGTCCCACATGCAGATCCACACCGGCATCAAGCTGTACTCCTGTGAGCGCTGCCAGCAGGGCTTCTCCGACTCCCGCCAGCTCAAGAAACACCGCTGTGGAGACACGGCTCAGACCTCGTTGGAGTCCGGCGACAAACGCAGGAAACAGAGGGACATGTTCCCCTGGACAGACGATTTCACCAGCCAGTGACACCAGAGATAGTCGATACCTCCTGAGATGTTTAGTAACACCTGAAATAGGCAGCAACACCTTCCTCTCTATCATGTGGGACAG